TCTCTCTCTCTCTCTCTCTCTCTCTCTCTCTCTCTCTCTCTCTCTCTCTCTCTCTCTCTCTCTCTCTCTCTCTCTCTCTCTCTCTCTCTTGCGGTGCGTGGACATAAATTTGTGCAAATTGCGGTCTGCGGCCAGGAGGAGCGTACAATGGGTCAATGCGAAGGAACATTCGACCCTTAATACGCAACATACCTTTCCAGCCGTGCAAATCTGCATTTTCTTCCACCAAACGCTGCGATGACAGAAAAAGCGCATTGTTCAGTCGCCGCACATGTTTCCGCAAACCCTTGCCTGCATCTGTGTTTGTTTGCCACAATGCAAAAAATTCATATTCAAGTGTGTGTGAAGGCGGTATTTGCCATAGGGGGAAGAGTCTTTCTTCCTTTCTACGGCAAATGTTGCCCCATTTTTTTTCATTACTCCAGAGAAGCGCATAGCAGTGTTCGCAAGGGGCCTTTTCCCCCAGTGTCATTTTTGGTACGTCGACAATGCGTTTGAAAATTTGTATTGAGTAAGCGATTGCAACGTTATCTGTTGCACCCGGTATTGGTTTCAGGTGTGACGGCGCCCCGTCGGTGCACAAAGGTTTTAAAATGCTGTCAAAATCTTCGAATGTGTCACGGGTATCTGAAACAGGAAAAGGAACTCATTGTTGTGGCTCGTCAATCACACAACACGTATCAAACGAATTTTCCTGACTTGTTGTCTTGTGAGACGGTTGTGTGGCCAGGCGCAGCAACGCGCTGTTGCAGCCCACTCATTGGTCGTTGGTTCCTACCCCGTCGACGGTTTGCCCTCATGCACAGGCCGGGGTGCGGTCTCCTAATCCCATGGCGATGCCTTTTCTTTCAGTACTGAGGGTCTGTTGTCGGTGATAGTGGTGCCTGCAAGTTTACTGAAGGTGGATACTCTTCACTGACAGTGCAGCCACTGCACGGGTCTGCGCACTGCACCTGCTCAGTTTGAGCATCCAACATGCCCAAAGAATCCATGTGCGACGTTGTGGGTTGTTTGCTTTAACAATCAGCGTTCGATTGTTGTTCAAGAGCACATAATAGATTCTGCGGGCGGAGACGTGATCGCGGAGAGGTGTGACTGGGAGTTGTATGAATGCGTGCGTGAACACTATCAACAGTTTTTTAAGTCCACCATCGGTTCATCTCTGGATGTTGATCTATTGATTTCCGTGGACCATTCTCGGTCGTCAATTGGATGTAGGGGCACTGGGGTCATAAAGTTTGGACGTCGTCGGGAATGCTGGTTTCTGACGTGAACTTCATGGTGAGAAGGTTGAAGGTCAAAATCTAATTATGTAGGTATTCCATGCATCGATTCCGCAAATGCTGTGGTGCTGCTCGTTTCATATTCAAAAGAAGGGGTGTACGAGGCTTGGGAAGGGGGGAAACGTGTCGAGGAATTTGTCTGTCTCATGACTGTGATTTGGGTACGTGGCACAGTGGTAACAGGAGTGGTGGACAGTGGTGCCACATGAGCACATTGTCGCGAAGTAGTTTGAAGTGCATGATGCACAGCAACAGGAGACACCATTGGACTATCGAGAAAACGCTCTTCAGTTGGAGGACAGATGTTATCCAATTGAAGAGGCGGTGTGGTTTGTACATACCGTATTATTGCTTGTGTGTATAGGAACAGAATGTTCATGTTCAATGCGAACGTCTGACAGTGGCATTTGAAGTGGTTCAACAATTGAAGGGCTGCAATTCGGTTGTAAGAGAACAGCAGGGGTGGATGGCACAGGAATAGGTGTTTCTGGAACAGCAGGGGTGACCGGGAGCACCACCAGAGGCAATAGTGTTGTATGGAGCCACTCGTGTTGCCGTGTGTTTTCTGCACGCACAACACATTTCTTTCTATAATACGTTTATTGGCCATCTTCCTGCGCTCCTGGTGTTCATCAATTGAACTGAAGGGAATGGATGAGAGCAGAGCATGGAACGGTAAGGTAGCTGACTGCAGAGTCGAGGAGAGCACAACATGTAACGGTAAGGTAGCAGACCACTTCTGGCTGTGCAGACCACTTTTGTTCTGAGATTGAACAGACAGCATGTTTGTTGTATAGACTGCGGCATTGACCGGCTGGAGAGGCAGAGATGGTGCGTGGAAGGTGTGCATATCTCCTAGCAGCTGTTGTTTTCTTTCAAGTGCACGTGCAGCAGTTCTTCTCATATAATAGCGTTTATTTGCCATCATCCTGCGCTCTCTCTGTTCTTCACCCGACGTAGAGGGAGTGGGTGAGACGGCAGGACACGAAGGACTGTCCGTCGGTACCGGTGTCCAACTTCATGTGTATGTGCAGGAAGATTGATGGTCAGGTTCCCCAGTACACATCATCCCAGATGGATGGTGCAGTTTGGTTGCATGAGAATCACTATTTGGATGTCAAGGGACAGAAAACTTGAAGGGGGGATGGATGGCTGTTTTTATTGTCACCAAGTGCGGAAAAGTCGTGACAGCGACAGGAGGAAGCACACATTGGTCAGATCTGGCAGGGCCATTTGCATCATGCTGAAGGGCATCAGATTCATTCAGGAGGTGTGTAGCATCAGCAAGAACGTGTTCGGCTGTGCTGACGGCTGGCGGTGACACTTACCAAGTTTTGGAGGGTTTGGAGGGTACTCATTCTCTGCAAATTCTAAGGTCCTTTGCAGCTGGGTGACAGGAAGCGTACGAAGTCTGGGCAAAGAGCAAGACAAAAGAAAAGGATATGCATTGAGTTTCTGGAGCATCAGGGCCTCTCTGTACGGCTGTGCACGGTTTTTTGAAGGGTTACGTGAGGGAAGAAAAGTTGATTCTCTGCTTTGTGCCGGCCAACCTGGAGTGTGCAAAATGAAAATCCACATGCACAAAGTGTGAACAGGAGGGAACCGGCCAAAGCGCAAACAGCAAGGAATCGGCGGCAGAAATCGGTAAAACCTACCAAGCAGGTAAACGCAAATGGAAAGAAAATTGCAACGACATGAAAACACGATCATTTGTCAATTTAAAAAAAAAAAAAAAAAAAAAAAGGAGCACAATGTACAAAAATGAAAAACGAAATCAGTTAAGGGGAGCCAAGCGGAAGTGGAGGGGGCAGATGGCGGCTGGTGGCAATGGCGGGCGGGAGGACAGGAGCGGAGCAGAAGTGAGCCCAAGGGGAGGGGAGGCGAGGCGAGATGGCGGGCAGAAGGGGAAGGGCAGCGAGCGGAAGTGGAGGGGGGAGATGGCGGCCGGTGGCAATGGCGGGCGGCAGAGCGGAGCAGAAGGAGCACAATGTACAAAAGGGGGCGAGACTATTTAAAAAAGAAAAAAAGAAAAAAAAAAAGAGCGAGAGATGCATAGGGGAGGCGAGTGGAGATGGCGGGCGGAAGGGGAGGGGAGGCGAGTGGAAGTGGAGGGGGGAGATGGCGGCCGGTGGCAATGGCGGACGGCAGGAGTGGAGCGCAGCAGAAGCGAGCGGAAGGGGAGGGGAGGCGAGCGGAAGCGGAGGGGGGAGATGGCGGCCGGTGGCAATGGCGGGTGGCAGGACAGGAGCGCAGCAGAAGCGAGCGGAAGGGGAGGGGAGGCGAGCGGAGGCGAAGGGGGGAGATGGCGGCCGGTGGCAATGGCGGGCGGCAGGACAGGAGCGGAGCAGAAACGAGCAGAAGGGGAGGGGACGCGAGCGGAGATGGAGGGCGGAACGGAAGGGAGGCGAGCGGAAGTGGAGGGGGAGGGAGAAAACGGTGGGGCAGCCAGCGGAAGCAATGGCCTTTGCAGCAGGTGAAGGTGGAGGGGGGAAATGGCCGGCGGCCACAGGTGAAAAAGGGCGGGCAGAGGTGGAGGGGGGGAAATGGCGGGTCAGCGAGCGAAGGCTGTGACCTTTGGCGGGGCAGCAAGCGGAAAGTGGGGGGGCGGGCAGGGGGGACATGCATAGGGGAGGCGAGCAGAAGCAGATGGGGGAGGCAAGCGGAAGCGAAGGGAGGAAATATCTGGCGGAGGGGGAGGGGGCAAATGTCGGGGCAGCGAGCGGAAGCGGTGGGGGAATGGCGGGCGCAGGGGGAAAATGGCAGGCGGAGAGGGGAAATGGCGAGGAAGTGAGCGGAAGAGGTGGGGGAATGAAGGGCGGAGGGGAAAACTGGTGGGCGGAGGCGGAGGGGGGAAATGGTGGGGCAGCGGAGGAGAAAGGTCGGCGGAGAGGGTCGGACAGGGCAGCAAGCGGAGGCCCCTCGAAGGTTCTTGGACAGGGCAGCAAGCGGAGGCGTGGGGGGAATGGCGGGCTGAGGGGGAAAATGGCGGGCGGAGGCAATGGGCAGAGGGGGAAATGGCGGGCGGAAATGGCGCGCCAGCAAGCGGAGGCGTGGACGGAATGGCGGGCGGGCACAGGTGGAAAAGGGCAGACGGAGGGAGAGGGGGGAGAAATGGCGGGTCAGCAAGCGGAAGCAGAGGCCTTCGCAGCAGGCGGAGGAGGAGGGGGGAAATGACAGGGCAGCGAGCGGAGGCGTGGGGGGAATGGTGGGTGGAGGCGGAGGGCGGAGGGGGAAATAGCAGGCGGAGGGGGGAAACAGCGGGCGGAGGCGGAGGGCGGAGGGGGAAATGGCGGGCGGAAACGGCGTGCCAGCAAGCGGAGGCGTGGGCGAATTGGCGGGCGGCGCGCGTGGAAAAGGGTGGGCGGAAGCGGAGCGGGGGGAATGGCAAGTCAGCAAGCGAAAGAGAAGGGGCGGCGAAGGGGCGGAGGAGAGGGCCGGCGGAGGGGGTGCGGAAGAGAAGGGGCAGTGGAGCGGTGGAGGAGAAGGGCCGGCGGAGGGGGTGCGAAAGAGAAGGGGCGGTCGAGGGGCGGACGAGAAGGGCCGGCGGAGGGGGTGCAGAAGAGAAGGGGCAGAGGAGGTGCGGAGAAGAAGGGCCGGCAGAGGGGGTGTGGAAGAGAAGGGGCAGCGGAGGGGCAGAGGAGAAGGGCCGGCGGAGGGGGTGCGGAAGATAAGGGGCGGAGACTACGCCGGTGGAGTGGGCTCTCTCTCCCTCTCTCTCTCTCTCTCTCTCGCTCTCGCTCGCTCGCTAGCTAGCTCTGGATCACACACACACACACACACACACAGGGGACAGAGACAAAACCTACTAACCTGAGTTGCCCATCCTGTAGTTGCGTCCACCGGCTTCCCGCCCTGTCCAAGAACCTCCAAGGGGCCTTCACGGGAGCTCTCCACCACAGCACACACACACACACACACACACACACACACGCACACACACACACACACACACACGCACACACACAGAGGGCGTCTTCGAGCGCACGCAAAAGCCGTCAGCCGCAGAACAGGGCTGCAAGACACTCCGTCGCATTTGATAGGTCAGAGTTTGTCGCGTTCGCTAGGTTTGTCCCTTCTACTTTGTCGCATCCAACGGGCCGTTGGTGCCGGTCGGACCTCAGTGCAGGGAAAGCGCCGCCCTGCAACGGCCAAAAACGCCCTGGCCCTCTACACAGGGCCTTACCGGTTGTCCAAGAATCGCACGGCGATCCAGGCCGTTCCCGGCCCGACGACCGCGATTGGCCCGCGATCTTAAAGTTTTAAGATCGCAGGGCAATCCGGGCCGGTAGGACCACGAACGGCCTGGATGCCAAAATTCTCACATTAGCGATTTTAACAAGTGTAGGGATGATTTCTGGCTGGGACCTTCCCTGATCCTTGCATGGCCGGACCGCCCGGGAAAACAGGGTGACCCGGGCGTTCCGGCTGGTAGCCTAGTAATATAATAAATAATAATATACATTAATTAATAATAAAAATAATATCTAAGAGCGAAAGTTGCCCAAAATGCAGCTGCAATGACTGTGTGTTCTATACGGGGGAAGAAGGTAATGGTTACTGCTAAAGTGAGTCATGATACAACTCTCTGTTCAGGCACCACAAACAAGGAGACTGTGCCAAATTCTCGGAATGCTCTCTCTCTCTCTCTCTCTCTCTCTCTCTCTCTCTCTCTCTCTCTCTCTCTCTCTCTCTCTCTCTCTCTCTCTCTGATGTTGTTTCCCTTGCCTGCTCTCTCTGCTCTCTCTCTCTGGCCCTCCTCTCTTTCACTGCCCCCGGCTCCCCCGCCCCTCGCTGACCCAACTTTGCCACGTTTGGGACATTTGTTAAGTTACAATGATAGGATATAAAAGATTAGCATACCTTGCGGGAAGGACGACACACCCAAACTGCAAATAGTCCCTACGTCGCGGAAGGACGACACACCCAAACTGCAAATAGTCCCTACGTCGACGTCGAGTAATATCCGAAGTGATACTGCATTGGCAATCTGATGATGCGAACTTCAGAAACTCCACATCGCGGAACTCTACTTTCCACAGCAAACAATGTTGAAAAACAAAGATGCATGCAACACTGCATCACATCGCTCTTCTGTTCCCGCAGCTCAGAGTATGCACAACCTCGTGCATACAAGGACGAACCTGCTACCGACTAAAAAGAAGGTTGTCAACGCAAACCTGGAGTACAGGTGCATGGGCTCTTACCGTCTAGCCGCTGGTACTCCGCATCTTCACGGAGAAGAAGGAAAAACTACTGCAAATGTCCTCCAAGTGCAAACTACACATGGCGGAGCATCAACGTTTTCCGCTCCTTCTCTGTGTCACTTTCACTGCTGGCACGGCACTACCCCGCCATTCATTGACAATTTTCAGCATTTATGCATCAAAATTAAATTGACTGAATACAACATGGTTCTTCGGGCTTCCTGTTACGGGCTACAGGCAAGAAAATTCAACGAGAGTCGAACAATTAATTAATGTGGAGTGTGCACTTGACAGAAGAATCTTTAAATCCCTGCAGCAATACCCTTCCGCAAAACAAAACAAAACAAAACAAAAAAGACAAAAGTTGAAAAAAGTTAAAAAAAAACGCAAAAAAGAGAAACCAATACTGCAGAAGCAGCAGGAAAACATAAAAACAAAAATAAAAGTAACCCTGCAGAAGCAGCAGCAGCAGTACTACCACAAGTGGGCAAAAGAAAGTGGGAGAAGACTACTGACTTCGGAATCGACACTGACAAACATTTTCAAAGAACCGCTTCTCAGAGTGACAATTTGAAAGAACTTCAAACATGCTCATCTACTCAGCAACACCATTCTGCAGCAGCAGCAACACCACTCTGCAGCAGCAGCAACACCATTCTGCCGCAGCAGCAGCAGTGGCACAGCGGCAGAAGAAAGTGCGAGACGACCGCTTATGCAGGGAACAGAACTGGTGAATATTTTCTAACGACGGAATCGCCGAGAGAGTTAAAATCCGAAAAGACTTCCTCCAAATATGCTCATCCGCGCGACTGCCGTGTTTATGCAAGAGAAACTCTGAAGCGGATAAACACAGGACGGCAGTCAATTGCGAGGGGGAACAAGGAAGGCGAAGTGGAGAAGAGGGGGAAGGGCTACGGGAAAGGACAGGGGGGGGGGCAGTACAGGGAAGGAATGAAGAAAGGTAAGAAGGGAAAGGAAAAGAGGGTTTAAACCACCAGTACATACCACCAGGCAACTGGAGAACCTGTTTTGAGCCTCTCCGAAAATTTAGGATGTCGAGCGCTGTAGATAAAATGCATTGGCAGTGGGCGGCCTCCGAAAGGGGCCAGCGGCCAATAGCTGGCATGTAGTGGTGCTTCAAGGGAAGGGGGGTGAAAAGGGAAAGCAGCGAGGGGGCAGCGGGTGGGGGGAGGGGACATGTAGTCAAGGGGAGTACAGGGGAAGGAAGGAAGAAGGGTAAGGGAAAGGAAAAGGGGGGTAAGAAGGGCAAGCAGCTGCGGGGCAGTTGCGAGGGGGGGGGACATGTAGTCCAAAGGGGAGGAAACTCAAGAAACCAACAAGAGGACAGGGAAGGCGAGACGAGCAAAAGAAGAAGGGGCGGGTGGGGGAGGAGGGGGAAAGAAAGGACGCAACGACGAGAGGAAGCACAAAAGATCATGCAGCTCGCATTATATCTGCCTACAAAACCACCAGGTCCTTTGAACGATTCTCTCTCAGAATGACTGGTACCCTTGAAGGCTTGACAATCCCCAACTCACAGATGATCATGGTGACATAATCAACAGGCATACAATCGTAATTAAGGTTGACGAAATGCAAATGCTCTTGCTCTGCGCAGCCGTCCAGGTGACTTGCCATCCCAATTCCACTTCCTCCTCCAGGCTTTGCAAGCAAGCTGGGATCGCCCAGCTCATTGTAGCAGAAGGAATCCAGGAGCGCTCGCTCGTGAAATTTGTACGTTTCGCAACAGATAAACACGGGTACGTTGCTCGCATGTGCGACCATCGCCGTTGCCGCGGAGCCTATTCGAGAGTACACGGCACCATTCGCCAGGACGGCAGAAGCGCCCAGAAAGACCTTGTTCACAGACTTCATTGCGTGCGGCAATGCCCCAATATGTGTGTACGAACACTTCACGCCCCATTGCAGAAGGCGGCGCAAAAGCACTTGGCCGTCGAATCTCGGCCTGGAGTCGACGACAACCACGCTGAAGTCCTTTCCTGACTCCTGGGCTTCGAAGAACGCAATCTCGATGACACTGGAGCAGCTATACGTGAGAACGACATCGCCATCGTCGATCTTCCCCACGGTATACCCCGCCATTACTTTGCCGGCTTGCACAACCTTCTCCTGCACATAACTCCTGATGTCTGCAATCAAATTCTCCTTGGCCTCACCTTCCTTCAGTCTGTCATCCATTTTGCCGACGTGCATCTTCAGCCAAGTTATCACATTCAGCATGCACAGGGAGAGAGAGCGGCAGGTGGCCAGGAACGACACATGCGTCTGGATCTTGCTGGTCAGTTCGCGCGCAAAGGACCTGTGAGGTGGCAAGCTGTAGTCTTTGATCATCAGCTGAAAGGCTCGCAGCAAGGCCACACACCGCGCATTCTCTCCAACAACACCACCCATCAGGTATCTCATGCCAAGCTCGTAGACAGCAGGATGTATGCCGAGAGCCGAACAAAACAAAAACCTTTCTTCTGCAGCTGCTTGGTTGGCTGCAGAGCGAAGGGAGAGCGGCAAGTGCCGAAATGGCTCAACTCCTCCCATCCTCATGTCCTTAGAGGCAGGGAGTTTCCCTGTCACGGCCACCTTTGCCATTTTCAACTTGTCCTCAGATTTCGGGGTGGATGGCAGACGGTGCAATACCTTCTTCTCCCCTCCTCCTCCTCCATCTTTTCTACTCACTGCTTGTCCCGCTGGACTTCGCTTGGTGCACTCCTCAGCAGTGGCAGAAGCTTTCTGTGGTGCAGTGGCAGAAGCTTTCTGCAGTTGCACACCACCGCCACCACCACTTGGCACAACAACTTTTCCGCCGCCGCCCGCTGCCTTCGCCAGAGCCTTGGCAGCCCTCTCGGCCTCCTGCTTCTCCCTGCGCTCTGCCTTGGTGAGCTTAGGCTTCCCCACTGCAGGTGCTGACAATGGTCCCCCTTTTGCCTTGCCAGTATGCGTCGCGTCCTCAGTGCTCCCTGCGATCGCAGCTGCTCCACCCTTCGTTCCTCCCACAACTTTCGCAGAAGGAGGTGCCTCCGCCATCGTCGTTCCTCACCTTCGCAGCGTTGTAGACGGCCTTTGCCACACAGCAAGCAGCGCTGGAGATGGCGCTGACCACAGACTGAGCAGAGTTACAGATCGCTTTGGCTTTTTACCGCACAGCGATCTAATTATAGCCTCCTCCTGGCTGACGCCCGCTTCACCAGCACCTGCGAGTTTGTCCAAAGCACAGCTGAGTCAACGTAGCATAAGAAGAAGAAGGAAACTCCAAAAAACAAAAAAGTGGAAGGAAAGTCCACATGCGAGGAATCTCCAAAGGCATCATGTTGTCGAACAACACACAATCTACCAGGATGACAAGAACCCTGGCCATTGTTTGTTGGAGGCAGAAGAAAAAAGGAAACCTGGCCAGAAGGAGAAGGCAGGGGAGTCCTCACAAACTTCTCAGCCTGATCGAGAAAGGATATGGTGGTATATAGGGGATTGTGCAGTGCGAAGGAGGAGGGTGCTCGATAGGGAGGAGGAGGAGGAGGAGGTTGCATGGCCAGATGAACGAGAGAATGCCAGAGAGAGCACGGACGAATAGGCACCATGGGGGACAAGGGATGTGAGAAGGCAACTGTGGGAGCCAGGAGGAGAGGGGAGGTAGAGGAAGGGGGAGGAGGGGAAGGGAGGCAGGGGGGGGAGGAAGGAAGAAAAAGAGGAACCCCTTCGCTTCAGTAGGTCGGCCAGAAAGGAAAGGGGAAAAAAACGACTGGATGGCTCTTTCTGTGACGTAATGATTGACATGCTAGCTGCATTGCATGTTAGCAGTCATTTGCTAGCCGCTTTGCATGTTAGCAGTCCATCATACATTGATGAGGTGATATGTGCGGGATGAGGGTCAGTGGTTCTTAGGACAGTGGAAGTTGGGTAATGTGTGTGTTGCGACGGACACCAGAGCTGTAACGTTCCTTGAGCTCCTTTTCGTATCGGAATTGATATCCCCGATGCTTGTACGACTTGATTTGTGTTGCAGTTGTGATTTTGCACTTGTGTTTACGGCTTTTGAATCGCTGTTACGGGAATTATTCCTGGATTTATACCACAGCTTCTCTGATGCAGGGAATCTGGTCATTTTTCTCTAGTCAGTGCAATGACCAATTTGCCTACATCAGAGGAGCAGTGAAGTGACCAGTTGTAATCGGCACAAAGGGGGGGAGGGGGGGGGGAGACAAGCACCCATATGATAGAGAAAACGTGCATATTCAAGCTGACAAGCAGGTGCAGGGAAATAACCAATGCGGACAGCAATAAAAACGAACAAAACTCAAAGAAGACCAGATGCAAAGCATGAGGCCCTCGGGCTAATTTGGAAAGGCGCCTGTGCCCGCTAGAAACTAACTGCGTCCTCCCTAACTGGAGGCAGGCCCTGAGGAAAAGCGACAAGGCCGTTCTGGAGGCCAAAGTGAGCAGGACGGGCCCCGTGGGTTGGTTGCTGCACACAGAATCTTCAACCAACAGGTGGGCCCGATCGGTTGAAGATGCTGGGGCCCAGCACAGATGCTGAGACCCAGGGCACTCCAATTATCTCCAACAGTGATCCTCCCAGTTATCTCCAACGGTGGTCTCCCCAGACGACATCCCCTGTCTCTATTATTGACACGGAATTGAAATTCTTCCCCTTACTATCATAGCGCAGAGCGATCCATTGCATGGCTCTAATTATACACGTGCGAGGCAAAAGGCTGAAAATCTCCTTGATATCATAGGAGAAGGCACTAATCTTGATGTCCTTACCGAGCCTCAGCCGTTTCTTGTCGACTTCTGCTAAGATCTGCGGAAAGCATTGACACAGCCTGCAAATTGAAGCGTCATGATTTCGATAAAAAGCGAAGAGCAGACAAGTCAAAGCCTTAGCCACAACCCAATCAGTGCATGTCATTGGTTCGTTAAAAGCTGGGCAGATGGGGCGATAACGGTGCAGGTCTTTCTGCTTAGGCAGAATGTACGCCGAACCGAAATCATGATTCCTGTCCCCCACTTCAAGAATTTATCGAGGCTCATCTGGAAGTGTGTCCTCTCTTACCTCTCGTAGTACCTGACCTGCAGAGTGTTGGATGTTGGATGACCTTGTAAGACGGGTTAACGGATGAATGTGGTCATCATTGTGCCGTAGTTTACTCTAGGGCACAATGGAACCGTCTCTCTCCCAGGTTACGATCAGAAGGGGTCAGAACTAACCCATGCGACCGACCGTTAGTCACTATTCTGCAACCAAGCCCTCAAAGGCTCGGCCACCCAAGAAGAGGTCCTCCGTCAGCCGTTATTCTGCAACCAAGCCCTCGAAGGGTCGGCCAACCGGTCCTGGACTCAAACCGCATCCGACACTCCATGAGGAACGTGGTATGAGAAGGGAGTCTGGCAGATTAAACACATCTGGAACGAAGCACACGCCCACCGGAAAATAGCAACTGAGCTGCGGGTTGCCACAACCATGAAGAGAATCAAGCTCACTGCCTCAGTCCCCCTGGCTTGGCTAGCACTGTCGAGGAAGGCCCCAAGCTGGCAAGCCGGGGACTGGGCCACTTGGACATCTGAGCCCATCCCCGCAACAGCACTGGCCTTCGTCTCTTTCGAGGGCTCTGCCGGAAGTTGGTATAGGATGATGACGTACGATATCAAATGCCCTGGCGCCACCCTCAGCCCCGTTCGGAAGTCGACCGGGGTCCAACTTTCAGTCCGACTGCACCTGCTCAAGAAGGTGCGAGTGATAGAAACGCTGGACCTCCCCGAACCCTGCACCTTTTCTCCGGCCACCCCTCTACAGGACCTCGAATTCGACCGGGTGGAGTGGGGATGGAGAATTGGATCACCAAGTGACCCTGCACAGCGAACTTAGAACATCACACAATACACAACACGGCTCGGCTACCCACTGCTGAGAAGAGAGCAGAACGTGACAACTACCTCGAACCTTCCTTGGCGGACCCGTCTACAAGCATCCCTCCCTCCCTGCTTCGCCCTCGACCCTCTGGCAGATTGCATCTGCCTCGCGTCTCCTCTCTCTCCAGTGGCAGATACTCTATCTGTCGCTACTGGTCAACGAATGTTGCTACTGGTCAACGAATGTTGAGTCAACGCCGCAGCAGGCACCACACAACACCGTCCAGCGAGCTCTGCGCCCTCTGCGCAGTGGGCCGGATGAGCCACTGCCTGCTTTTCTGCCACAATGCAACAACCTTTTGGGAAGAGAATATGAGCCACTGCCTGCTTTCCTGCCACAATGCAACAACCTTTTGGGCGGAGGTATCTGCATTCCGGGAGTCAGCCACCCAGGCTGCTCCCTCTTAGACCGTCTCCAGACTGACCGGCCTGAGACTCCCGATCAACCTCTCAAACTGGGAGCGCAGACTCCCGATCTACGTCTCAAACTGGGAGTGCAAACTGTTCCAACTCCTGCGGCTGCAGGCGCTGTGGTTCATGACCTCTCAAACTGGGAGCGCAAACTGTTCCAACGCCTGCGGCTGCATGCGCTGTGGTTCATTTGGCGTCTCCAGACCTGTCTCTTATACACATCTAGATGTGTATAAGAGACAGGAGACTCCCAATCGACGTCTCAAACTGGGAGTGCAAACTGTTCCAACGCCTGCGGCTGCAGGCGCTGTGGTTCATGACCTCTCAAACTGGGAGCGCAAACTGTTCCAACGCCTGCGGCTGCATGCGCTGTGGTTCATTTGGCGTCTCCAGACTGACCGGCCTGAGACTCCCGATCGATCTTTCAAACTGGGAGCGCAAACTGTTCCCACACCTGTGGCTGCATGCGCTGTGGTTCATTTGGCGGAGGAGGCGATACCAACACACGATACCCCAGACCCACCACCGAGCCCCCATAACATGGGCAACTTCCAACAAGACGTGGATCTCGCATACCTCGCTGACTGGACCCAGACAAAGCGCAAAATCAGAGATGACCCCACCAAGGAAACTGACCTCAGGGGCAAGTTCTTCTTGCACACTCTTGGAGCCAGCAGAATCACGACAATAACAGGAAGGCATCTGTTTTTCACATGGCCCCACGGTTCCCCCCAACCCCAGTCACCACGACCCTTCCCGGACCCCCATACCCCCCTAAACCCCCCCGGCACCCAGCTCCTTGACACCCCTTTCGCTTGTCTCCGCATGAAGAGCAGCACCTGCCTGTGCCGGGAGCGGCAGGATCGGAACATGGACGAGGCCTCAGTTGTTGATGATAGAGGGAGTGGCGCATTACTGGAAGCATTGGCAGGGAGGACATCAAGGAGAGCACAACGCAGATCGTGGACTTAAAGGTGATGACAGACTGGGCCGGCCCGGCCTGTGGAGCGAGGAGCCTTCGGTCCCCTGTTCCAGACCGAACTCCGGAAACCCGTCCCTGGGGTCTCCCAGGGAAGCCAGCTCATCCTGGCGCCAAGTCACACAGTGCAGTTTCTGGCCCGGGGTTTCCGGGGGAAACCCGGGAGAGTCTTCTGGCCCCCGACTGTTTTCGCACTGGAGCCGAGTCCGGTCGTCCTTCGGAATGGATGGCAGCAGATGTTCGGTTCCGCCGAAGACTAAACGCTGGACGGTCGGTGGATTGTCTACTTCCGTGATTGACTAGTTGATTGACTGACACGTCGACTGCATGGTGCTGCTAGACCTGACTGAACGCTGGACGGTCGGCTGATTATCTACTTTTGTGATTCACTAGTTGATCGACTGACACGTCGGCGCGTTGCTGCTTGACCTGACTGCTTCCAAACAAAGGACGCGGTGTGCGTGGAAGGGGGAATGGATGAAAGCAGATGTGCGGTTCCGTCGAAGACTGAACACTGGTCAGTCGGCCGATTGTCTACCTCCGTGACTGACTTGTTGATTGGCTGACACGTTCATTGCGTGCTGCTACAATGGCAATTACACAGAACAAGGCACACTCGGTGCACTCGATGATACCTTCTTCCCCCGAATACAACGTACGGTCATTATAGCTGCATTTGAGGCATCTTTCTGTCTAGATACACCTATAATGATCGTACGTTGTATTCGGGGGAAGAAGGTAGTCGGTGTTTAGAATGCAGTTGCCTAAGACTGGAATGTGTGCAGATTCGCTGGCTTGCTCAATCTGGAAAGGGAGGAAGGGGACTAGGTAGGTAGGTAAGTTGGTCGGGCGCCCAGCAGCGGGGCTGAAGAGGCCCCCTTTTGTCAATTCCTCTCGCGTGCATCCTTTCAACTGCTCAATCAATCCCCTGGTTTCAGGGTAATCAATGCTGGCAGGATGTCAGTGTGTTCAGATGCTGAACCGTTCGCAGGGACGCTGGACCCGTTTCCAGAGCAACCACCATACTCGCCAGAAGGGTGTGCTCTTATCACCTCTTCTAGAGGAGGGGCTGGTTCTCCCGAAAAAAAAAAGCACCAAAAAAAAGCATAGAGAATGAGGGGTGTGGTGGACTGAGTGCAGTTGGTTAGCATCTGGCCTGTTCTGTCCAAAATACTTCATGCTGGCCGTGCCAAAGGGTCTTGGAGCATTCCCCGAAAGACGTAACACAAAAAAGAAATGCAGCTGCACGTGCCAGACTCACTTCGTGGACAGCGCAGCG